CCCACATGGTGCAGCAGAAGATTGGGAACTGGAACTCACCAGGTGCTCTAGGGACAAAGATGAGGCCATCTGCTTCCATAAAGATTTGGAGTCTCGAAAATCTTGCCAGTCAGTTCTATTCTGTCCTCTGTTATTGTTGTTGTTGTTGTATACCATCAAGTCAGAACCAACTCATAGCTTACCCTCCAGGGAGGTTTGAGAGGCTGTAAATCACTCAGGAGGAGAGTGCCAATATTTTTTCCATGCTGTGACGTGGATATAAACCACTTGCCTGTGGACTGGCAGCAGTACTCCTTACTATCCTATCATAGATGGTCCCTACCCTGTGTTGATTTTGTTGTCACATGCTGTCCATTTGAGTACAACTCTCTGTGACCCTATGCACCACATGTCTGAATCTCAGCCTATCCTATATCTCTGATATACTTGAGCCCACTGTTAGAGTAACCATGTCACTCTATCTTGCCGAGGGTCTTCCTCTTTTCTGTTCACCTTTCCAAACCTGATATCCCTTTCCTAGCACCGGCCCCTCCTAACTACATGTTCAAAGAGTGAGACAAAGCTTCATCATCCTCCCGTCCAAGGAGCACCCTGATCGCCCTTTCTCCAAAATATGTTTATTCTCTTTAACAGTCCATGAATATCAGTACCCTTCTCCAGCATCATAACTCAAGGGCATCTATTCTTCTTCTTTCGTCCATATTCATTGTCCAGTTTTCAGAAACATGTTGTTGTTAGATGCCATCGAGTCAAGTACGACTCACAGTGACACTATGAACAAAAGATCTGAACCCTGTCCTATCCTGTGACATCCTCACACTTCCTGACTTACAATAGCCCATTGTAGCAGTCACCATGTCAATCCATCGGTTGAGGGTCTTCCTCTCCTTCACTGACCCTCCACCCTTCCCAGTATCATGTCCTTCTCCAAGGAATAGCCCCTCCTAGCAACATGCACAAAGTATGTAAGGGGAAGCCTCATCATTCTTGCCTCCAAAGAGCACTCTGGGTGTGCCTTCTCAAAGATATATTTGTTTGTTCTTTGGCCATCCGTGGGATGTTCAATGTTCTTCTCCAATGCCATAGCTCAAAGATACCAACCCTTTTTCTGTCATCCTTATTCATTATCCAGCTCTCAGATGCACAGCAAGTGATCAGAAAAACTATGGCCTGAATCAGACACACCTTAGTCCTCAAAATGACATTATTACTCCTCAATAATTTGGAGAGGTCCCTAACTGCAGATTCCTCCAGTGCAGTGTGTCTCCTCATTTCCTGATGGTTGGTACCAAGGGTGTTAATTTTGGATCCAAGTAAGATGAAGTTGTTGACAGATTCAATCTCCTCTCCATCCATCATGAGGTTGCCTATCAGTCCAGTGGTAAGAATCTTTGTTTTCTTGACAGTGAGATGCAATCCATACTGAAGGCTGCACTCCTTGATATTCTGCAACAAGTGCTTCAGGTCCTCCTCACTTTCAGCAAGCAAGGTTGTGTCATCTGCATAATGCAGGTTATTGATGAGTCTCCCTCCAATCCTGATACCACACTCCTCTTCACAGGGTCCAGCTTCTTAAATTATTTGCTCAACATACAGACTGAATAAGTATAGAGAGAGAATACAGCCCTGACACATTCCCTTACTTACTATCTATCTTTGTATTTCAGATACATAGGAGGTAATTAAAAAGACTATGGGTTGAACCAGGTGCACCTTAGTCTTTAAACTAACATCATTGTTCTTTGGAACTTTGGAGATGTCCAGCCTGGACCCTCAGAGCCTAGGAGCCACAGAGAGGGCAATAGTGGCTCCAGCCCTGTCCTATAGACTTTCTAGAACAAAAATCCTCACCGCTAGACCAATAGGCAATACCATGATAGATGGAGAAAAGGTTAAAGTTTTCTATGAGTTCATTTTACTTAGATCCATAGTTAGCACCCACGGTAATAACAGTCAGGAAATCAAAAGACAAGGTGCCTTGTGAAAACCTGCTGTCAAGGGCCTCTCCAAAGTGTTAAAGAGCAAGGATGTCTATTTAAAGACTAAAGTGTGTCTGAGCCAAGTCATGATCTTTCTAATCACTTCCTCTGGCGTCTGAAAGTACGACAATGGTTAAGGATGGTGGGGGGAGAATTGATGTCTTTGGATTGTGATGTTAGAAAAGAGCACTGAAAAATCCCATGTGCTGCCACAAGAACAAACAAGTCCATGTTAAAGGAAGCGCCACTGGGGCATTCCTTAGAGGTAAGGATGGTGAAGCGTTGTCTCATACACTATGGACACTATGGGCATATTTGCAGAAGAGGCTAGTCCTTGAAAGAGGACATCATGCTGGAAAAGGTGGAGGGTGAGGTTGGAGAAAGACATGGAGACCCTCAACAAGATGGATTGGCACAGCGACTGTAACAATGGGCTTGGGTAGATGAGAGATGGTGAGGATGGTGCCAGACAGGGCAAGGTTCAGATCTGTTCTTCGTAGGATTGTTATGGCACTAATAGTGGACTTGATGACATCTAACAACAACAACAACGTGAATCGGAAAGGACTCCATGGCAGTGGGTTTGACTTTTGGGGTTTTCAGGAAGGTATTGCCATTTTTCTTTCCAGTCTATAAGAATGATCAGCTGACTAGAACTGGTCCTAAACAGGTACCTGCGTATAACAGGAAACCAGGACAGATGAATATACCAAATACCCCGCAGCAAGATACCTTCCCTGTCATTGGCCACCACCACTTCAAACCAAATGGAGGGACCAGGGACCTGGGCCTACAAAAGCCCCTTTTACATCTGGTCCACATGCCAGGAGAAGGCCTGAAGGGGGGTGGTGCCAGCACCTCCAGGTAATTTGCCCCACAGGCAAGACTGACTTTCACACTGCTGAGGATGGGAGTTGGAAGTATGGGGGGACGGACCCAAACCCAGACTCCAGGACTGAGTGTGTCTGCGTGTCTCCAATGGACCCCGAGTTCTTTTACAGGACCTGCTTTCTTCTCTGGATACCTTGGGAGAGTAAGTCACCACTGTGGCTTCCCAAAATCGATGGCCTCTCCTGATAAATTCGATGCTCCCCAAAATGAAAAACAGGCAAGCACCATCAGTGAGAAGATTCAAAGACCTCAGCGGTTCTGGGCCCCTTCTTCCTATCTGAATGCCTCTCCCCAAGGGGCCAGACTGCGCAGTGCGGCCATAGCAGTGTGCGCGCGCTGTTTCCTGAAACACTAGGCACCTCCAGCCTTCTGCGCGCGTTCTCCCAGCTTCTGAGGACCCTGGCTGGCTGGCTTTTTACTTGAAATCTCACCGGCTGGTGAACCTAAAGAGTGTCGACGGGTTAAACGAAGAAGAGGAGGGGTGTGGTGGATGCCTTTATGTTCACCAGCCTCTGCTCTCTTTGACAGGCGCTTCTGGGTCAGCAGTGGCCTTGGGGAATTTGGGGGGTCGGTCTCAGGTGGGTGGCTATTCTTTTCCCTGAAGATGGTCAGCCTCAGGATGGTGCTTCCCTTTTCTGCAGTGTTTATTTTAGTAAAGACTCACAAGCCAGCACCAGAGGTCCTCTCCGCTGGGGACCCCATTTCTGTGTGCAGGCTCCGTGGAGGCAGCGGGAGGGAGCGAGACGGACCAAAGCGGTGCGTTGGTTGGGGTGTCTAATCTTTTTATAAGTGGGGCCATGAGATGGGATACAGGGGAGACGGATAGGACTCCCACATTTTCACCGCTGACCCTGGCATCTGATCCTTTGATCAGACAGACCTCAAGAAAGTATCCCTACCGCTAGTCCTGGTTCCCACCAGCGAGACTGCTGGCAGAGACACACTGCGTCTGATCGCTGGAATCAATCACAGGTGGCTCTTCACCTGTCCAGGCTCCAGTCCCCTCCGGGGGGTACAACAGTGTTATGTGGAGTCTCAGGTCTGGGGCCGCAGCGGGCCTGGATGTGGGAACAGATCCGAGTCTCTGGCCACGGTCCATGCGCGCCCCTCTGCCATCCGCGCCCTCGGCGGCTCTGGCTGTTCAGCCCGCGCCCCTGCCCGGCCCGGCGCCTCGGCCGCGCGCTGTCTCCCCCCAGCG